ACACACACACACACCGCGCACACACACACACACACACACACACACTCTCTCTCTCTCTCTCTCTCTCTCTCTCTCTCTCTCTCTGTTGGTCCGAGTCGTCATGGCCGGACCTGGTTCACTTAACCTTTGGTTGAACGTTTCTTCCAACCATTGCTTCCCTATTTTCCTTCTCTCACGCTCCCTGGTGTGGGCACTGATGTTGCCGATGAAGAAGCCTACCCCACACCCGCGCTTCTGCGCCATCCCCGCTCTGCTGGCTGACTGCTGACCCCTGATTGACGAACGTGCCTCGCCGCACTCAACTCTCAACCCAAATCAACTGAAGTTGCTGCTTCGCTCCTGCCAACTGCCCATCAAGAGGCGTGCTGCTGTGCCTCTTTGCATGTCGGCTACCCTGGCTCCTGCCTCCTCCCCCCCCCCCACTCCTACGTGCTGGATGTTTCTGCTGTTTGGTTTGGTTGTCTCTTCTGTTGTACTGTTTCATTCTTAAACCGCTTGTGTCTTTGTGTGTTTCTTACATTTTGTGTGTGTGTGTGTGTGTGTGTTGAGGCGTCCTTTCCCCCCTTGACTTACCCGCCTACCTGTTGCACACGTGTGCTTGCCTGCATGCACCGAGCAGTGATCCTAATCCATGAGGTGCTCTGCGTACGCATAGACACATGTGCTGTTCACGTGGCTTGTTCTTCCTTCTGTGTTTTACATTTGTTCTTACATTGCATTGCTTCTTGCTTGTCGCCTTGTCGCTGTGCTCATCCTCTCAGCATAGCACATGCCGTGTTTTGTTTCTCCTTTTGTTGTTTGTCCTGTGCTCTTATGGTTGTGGGGGGTTCCCCTTCCTTGCCATGGCAAAGAAGGCAGCAAAGGGATTGGAGGAAGAAGAGAAGAAGGAGAGGAGAGCGGAAGACTGGAAGAGAAAGCGGACAACTGACGAAAGATTTCAGATGTTTTTCCACACACGCACGTCTTGTGCATTTTCAACCAACCAATATCAAAGCAACTGCAAACACACACACACACACCGACAAGAACAACCAGCAACATGGGAGCTCCCGCAGGCCAGGCAGCACAGAAGGGCATCAGCGCCGTCCTCAACAACTCCACCATGACCGGCCGTCGTAACGTGAGTGTTTGCGCGCGCGCGTGTGTGCTTTTGTGCGTGTGCTTGTGCGTGCTTGTGCGTGTGTGTGTATGTGTGTGTAAGCGTGCTTGCCCTTGCGTGCTTGTGCTTGTGTTTGCTTGCCTTTTCGAGCACATGATGATGCACACTTTGCGTCTTCTTCTCGTCGCCGTCGTCTGCGTTCCGTTGCTGCACAACCCTGTTGTCGGTCACCCTGTTTTACCTCCTCTCACGCTTGCGCGCTCTTGCAAACTACAGATGACCTTTGCCGTCCTTGCTGGTTGGGCTGTGGTGATCAAGCTCGCCACTGGCGGCAAGAAGAAGGAGTAAGAAGGGTGTCCGCGCTGTTTGCCTTCATTCTCGTTTTGTTCTGCTCCCGTTGGTTGTTGTGCTGTTGAATTACCTCGTTGTTCCTCGCTGTTGCCTCCGTTGTTCCTCGTGGCTGTGACTTCGGCTATTTGTCCCTGCCTCACTTGGTATCTTCAACCCACGTGGTGTTGTCGTGCCCAAGGCAGTTTTGTCGTGTTTCCCGAAAGTTTCATGTGTGGCTGTGTGGTTTACATTGCATGACTACCGAGCCATCGTGCTTGCTGGGTGACCTGTGTCGCTGTGTTTCTGTGTTTGCAAGTGTGACCAAATGCCTGACGCACAAACAGGCCACTGCCTCTGGCATGTTCGGCCTGTGTCTGTGATTGTGATTGTTGACGTCGCGCCCGCCAGTCCTTGCTGCAGTAAACCACCACCTCGTCTTCTCCTTCACGGTCGGGAAGTTGTGTGCCCGACGCAGCGTCGTTTGGCGCATACAAGTGTCCGTACACACACACACACACACACACACACACACACACACACACACACACACACACACACACACGCACACACAGTGCTTCCGAGTGACTGTTTAGCGGGTGCTTTCTGGGTCAACGATAACGATCATGCTATGTTAAGAGGAAAGAAGATGTTGAACGGTGCTGGAGCGACAAGTAGAGAGAAGCGCAAAGCAGAGAAACACACGTGCTACATCGGCAGGTCACACAAAAACACGCTGTTGCTGTTGCTGTCCTTGTGAGGCGGTTAATGGATGGTACGGAGCGCCTGCTGCCGCTTGTCGGAGTCTGCAAAGATCGCCTTGATGAGCCCACGCAGCTCCGGTGCAGTGAACACCCAGCCACCAGCCTGAACCGTGCATGTGCGGGTGTGTGTGTGTGTGTGTGTGTGTGTGTGTGTGTGTGTGTGTGTGTGTGTGTGTGTGTGTGTGTGTGTGTGTGTGTGTGTGTGTGTGTGTGTGTGAAAATGCGCGTTCGGTGGCGAGGCAAAGAGGGCACAGCAGACGGTGAGCGTTGACCACCGAAAATGTTCTGAACAAAGCAGCAGGAGATCCAACAGCTATCATGGACTATAGTTGATCATGTGATGTCACGTGGCTCACCTCAAAGCGCTCCTTGATCGTCATCAGGCGCTCCGACAGCACCTCCCGCAACTGCAATTGGCACAACAGCGATGCCAGCACCCGTGAGCATCACACACACATACATGAACGCACACACATGAACGCGAACGTGCACTTCCATGCTGAAGCTCCCACCATACCTGTGCGAGTCGCTGCCAGGACGGGGCAAGCTGTGTCAGTTCATCCTGGGCAACATCACGACCCCACTGACCACGTAGTTGCTGAAGAAAAAAAAAGGGGGGGAAAGTAGAGCCATGATGTGTTGGTGTATGTACAACATGTGTGTGAGATCATGTGTACATGAGCGTCACCCCAAACAAACAATTCACGCAGCCCGCACATCCACAGCAACAGCAGCCCACAAACCTCAAGCAAGAGGGAAACAAAGTGCTCCAGGTGCTTGCATTCGTCCTCGGAGATGTCAGAGAGCGCAAGCGTGTCGCTCACAACCCGGTTTGCAATCACAGACACCAGCGTGCCCGTACATGTGTCAAACACGCCCGGTGGCATCACACCCTGGCAGGTTGCAGCAACACAAGTCCGCGCATCATGTTGGTGTGAGCCGTGCATGTGTGTGTGTGTGTGCGCATGTGCATGTGCGTGTGTCTGTGCGTGTGTGTGTGTGTGTGTGTGTGTCTGTGTGTCTGTGCGTGTGTGCGTGTGTGCGTGTGTGTGTGTGTGTGTGTGTGTGTGTGTGTGTGCGTGTGTGTGTTCGTGTGTGTCTATGCGTGATGCCGGGTGCATGCGTGCATTGTCACGTGCCACCCAGGCTAACGCACACACCCACCCACGCCCATGTGCTAT